GATAATTTTTTGTCCCGAACATTTCTTAACCTCATCAAGGGTAAGTACTCGTCCTGTCAGATGGAACCATAGTGCATCAACACTTTATTTTTTTAAATAATGCAATTTATACGTAAGAAGCTCCAATTTCTCCAATCTCTTGTAACTCGCTGCCTTGATTGGAAAAGCATATTAAGAATAGTTGGCAATCGTCCTTATTGTTCCCTTACCATAAAATAACCACTATTGATAATATACATATATGAATTAACTCGTTCCCATCGCATTATTACGTGTCATTAGGATTTCCTTTTTCTATCACCTTATATCCTATCTGGTACTTTATTTTAAATGCCATTTTTCAGGCCATATTATTTTAAGACATCTAGTTCCCAAATTGTTTCAGTCATTTTTTTGTCTGTATGTTTTTAGCATATAAGCAGTTTCGAGACTACCAGTAAATCAATTATATAAGGTGTATTCACCCTATTTCGTTTAAAGTTATAGAGAACTAGTGGTTGAATTCCACAGCCCTCTTTTCCCCAAAGTTGTCCTCATCTCGAGGGGACTGCAGTCATGTCTGCCCTGTTACCCGAAGGCATTCCTAGCAATGTGGATGAGTGGTTAACGTGTCAAGTCCACATGCTGCATTATCACGGGTTGACTCCCGCTGGGGTTGTTAATAAGATCTATGCGAGGTCGAAACGGTGGTCCACCCTGGATGAGAACAACTTTTGGGAAAGCAAGACTAAATTCAATTGACATTTCAGGTATAATCATTTCATTGTGAGAAAATTAAACTACCAGTCTTTCATCACCTTAAACGAAATACGGAGAATACATCTCATACAATTGTTTATTCTGGCACTGTCTAGGTTTGTTGGAATTGCTTCCATATACTTCCACAATTTTATGATTTATATAATCTGGATATGCCGTATAAACACAAAATTTACGATATACCCTACGGACGTTGATGATAAGCCCAAGATGTTGATGTCTCAATCTTGGTCGAAGTCTT